ATTATCAAGAAAAGAAAGAAAAACATTATTCATGATTAATTTGATTAAGATAGTGATTTTATCGGCCACCGATAAGAAGCTCAATATATTGTCCAGTACCACCACAACCATTTGGAATAACACGAGTAACGACATATCCTTGTGGTATAGGAGAGCCAAGGCAGATCTGCATTCCACTTCGTGCCTTCTCGATATATCTTCCAACACCACCACATCCATTTGGATTTAATCGAGTTATCACATATCTACGAAAATAAATCTATTAGAAAGTGAAAATCTGAGACAAATTTATATTTTATTTCTAAGTTTCTCAACACACTGTCATCTATGCTCATATCCATCATTATTTAATAAGAAAAGATCGTTCTTATACATACCCATCTGGTAATGGAGAACCCAGACAAATTTGCATTCCATCACGTACTAACTCAATATACTGACCCACACCTCCACAACCATTTCTGTTTAATCGTGTAATGACATATCCAGTTGGAAGAGGAGATCCAAGACAAATTTCCACTCCATTTCTAACTGGTTCAATGTACTGTTGCACATTGTTTATACCACAGCCATGAGGATTTAATCTTGTAATGACATATCCTTCTGGTATAGATGAACCAAGACATATGTTTTGACCTTGTGCAGAAACATACAAGCACCAAAAGCTGAGGTAGAAAATTATACCTTAATAAAGAAAAGAAATATCGATAAGAATTAAAACTGATATTATGTCTCATTCGTAATCTCTTATTCAGCAATATCATATGGCTATCAACGATGTTAGAAAATTTCGAGAAAAAGTTTATGAATTTTGTGTGACACATCAGTACTTCTCAAGATACGATAAAACGCAATTATAATCTTGATAATTCAAAAACTTACTTAGAACAATAATTGAGTTTGTAAATCTCATAGTTTAAAAATGATTTGTATAAAAAATAACGGTTTGAATGAATCGTGTTTTGCTTTTATGAGTGATTAAATATATACATAAATACACAGTGTATATTTGAATAATTTACCATTGCATTAAATCTTACTTTCATATTAAAAAAACGTAATATATATTAGCATGTTATGATTATTATTAGTAATATGCTTCGAGCACTTGATCAATTTTTTACATTTTTACTTCCTAAAAGTGTAGAATAATTTCTGAAATATAATTGAAAACTATTACCAATGCTGTAAATCGAATAATGTGTCGATATAACTTTTCTTCCTTCATCAGAAACATGTTATCGAAAAAGGAAGCGAAAAATCGCTATCATTTCCTATAAAGAATACTATTCTAGAAAAAAAACTGCGAATGTATTGGAATGATAACAAAAACAAAATTTAGTTTTAATTCAAATTTCAATCAGTTAATTATCAAGAAAAGAAAGAAAAACATTATTCATGATTAATTTGATTA